ATGTATTCCAGTCGATTCTGACTGACTCTGGCATCGTTGCAGAATCCATTATGGATACTAAGGTTTCCAATAACACAGCAGTATCCATTATGGATTCTGAGATGGATTCTGCAATATGTATATCGGTGGATACATTGTGGATTCTCCTGTATAATTCAAGAATCCACCATGTTTGATAGCAATGGATACTGATGGAAAAGGACAGTTTCACACAGTTATATATATATATAATTAAAACGCGCGCGCAAAGTATGGCAATTTAGTGGAAAAGTACAGCAAAGTAGTGGCAAAGTACTGCAAACTAGCGGCAAAGTACAGCAAGGTAGTGCAAAGTACGGCAAAGTAGTAGCAAATTACGGAAAAGTAATGGCAAAGTACGGAAAATTATTGGCAAAGAACGGCAAAGTAGTAGCAAAGGATGGCAAAGTAGTGGCAAAGTACAGCAAAGTAGTGGAAAGTACTGCAAACTAGCGGCAAAGTACAGCAAGGTAGTGCAAAGTACGGCAAAGTAGTAGCAAAGTACGGAAAAGTAATGGCAAAGTACGGAAAATTAGTGGCAAAGTGCGGCAAAGTAGTGGCAAAGTACAGCAAGGTAGTGGCAAAGTAGTGGCAAAGAACGGCAAAGTAGTAGCAAAGGATGGCAAAGTACAGCAAAGTAGAGGTAAGAACGGCAAGGTAGTGGCAAAGTAGTGATAAGTAAGGCAAAGTAGTTTCAAAGTATGGCAATTTAGTGGAAAAGTACAGCAAAGTAGTGACAAAGTACTGCAAACTAGCGGCAAAGTACAGCAAGGTAGTGCAAAGTACGGCAAAGTAGTAGCAAAGTACGGAAAAGTAATGGCAAAGTACGGAAAATTAGTGGCAAAGAACGGCAAAGTAGTAGCAAATGATGGCAAAGTAGTGGCAAAGTACAGCAAAGTAGAGGTAAGTACGGAAAAATAGTGGCAAAGCACGGCAAAGCAGTTGCAACGTACGACAAAGTAGTGGCAAAGTACGGCAAAGTAGTGGCAAAGTACTGCAAACTAGCGGCAAAGTACAGCATGGTAGGGCAAAGTAGTGGCAAAGTACGGAAAAGTAATGACAAATTACGGCAAAGTAGAGGTAGGTACGGCAAAGTAGTGGCAAAATACGGCAAAGTAGTAGCAAAGTACGGCAAAG